CGTTCCACTTTATCCTCTTAATCACATATTAAGTTATTCACTTATTACTTTTTATTCTTATCGCTTTTATTATCCTACGTCTGAATTTTTTAATAACTATAAATTCCATGTACAGTATGAAATGTAGGGTGGAGATTTTGAGTAGCATTTCGAAATAATCTGGGAAAGGAGTTTGAGAATAGAAATAAGCATGAAAAAGCTAGAGAGTTGTAATAGATGGGAGCAGGGAGAGGAGCCAAGATAAACGAAAAAATTCGTCCACGTCGTTAACTCGTAGCAGATGTAGCACTACTGACTTTTGTAGACGAGACTATTTTGCAAGTAGGAAATCATCGCGGTGGCCCGCTCCTGAATAAATGGCATTCGCTGTAATTATCCGTAATGCACCAGAACTCGAATTTGAGAATTTGAAAATTCGCCCTGACCTCCGTCACCCGTGCACCGATCCCTCCCTGCCCACTCTCTTCGTCGCCAAAACTCTGTCCGCTTTTCCGGTAGCGTGTTATTCATTTGTTTGTGTTCCTGATCTTTCTTTGTGACTCTCAGCTTCCACCTCCAAGGGCTATTTGTTTTCCTGCTCGCGACATCCTCCGTCGGTATCTCATTATATTTCTTGCCCCTTCCTTTTTCGTCAGAGCGACAAGTTTTCCCTTCTAGTCTGATGAGTAGTCTCGCATTAATGCGGAGTAAGGGGCGTCGGTGCTTTTGTCTTCTCGCGTTCCTGTCTTCGATGAATCTTCAGATTTTGCAGCCCAGACGGCAAAGATGTTCGTGGTCGACTCGAACTTTCTTGGCGCCAAATCCTTTCGACCGGAGGACAGGTCGCGGCCGCGACTTTTCTTTACAATGAATTCGCCACTGTTGGTTTTGTAAGCATACCATTTTTCTACCTACGGCTTTTCAGCTCGACCGATGAATCAAGTGAGTATTTATCATCGATTGTGGGAACAGCCATATGGCACTTATTTAATGAAAGCAATAATGCGAATTCTACCTTATTTACCCTTTAATTTTAAAAGTGATGTACATTAGAATGTCTGTCTATGACTGCATGATTACTATATATTCCTTTAAGTAAGAGAGTTGAAGATTAAGAAAATGTATAAGTAAAGCGTTGTTTACATACGTTCTGATTAAAATTTTGACAATTTTGAATTTTGCAAATTATACGAATACGGGTGACTTGTATGTTTTAAACTGCTGTTCAATCATAAACAACTGTAAACATAGTAAGATAATCAATTCTTAAAAATTATAATTCTTATCTACTATATATCTAATACAAATTTACAACTAGAAATTATTAAATAATTGTATAGTATTGATTTTCTGTACATAATAGCAATATAAATAAATAAAAATAATTATATTAAATAAAATGGTGATGATACTTCTAATGTTGCGTTCTATTGCTTTCTTATTCATTTACTTCGCTTTCTTCATATTCATCATCATCTTCTTCTTTTTCTTCTTCTTCTTCTTCTTCTTCTTCTTCTTCTTCTTCTTATTATTATTATTATTATTATTATTATTATTATTATTACAATAAAGAAACTAGCAAAATTAAAACTTAAAATTTCAAAAATATTATTGTGAACGAGTCACTAAAGATAATAGTAGTTTCAATAACTAATGGAAATAGTAATTTAAATGAATATTAATACCTTAAAAAAAATTACTGTTTAATTATTTTGAAAATTAAAAGTATTTTGTCAGAAAGATGGATTATTGAAATCCTAGAGAATGTTATCAAGTAAAATCAGTCTGCCATGTTTGTCGTATTAGCTTGCTTACACATCAATCTTACTCTATGCGTTAAGGAGGTACTAAGGACTTTTTATGTATCAGCCGTCACATTTGTAATTACTAACAAGAGATATAAGTCGTGTGGAAATGTAAACATGTGACCAAATCAGTTTCCGTAATTTCCCACTATTTGGTTATATTTACTACGCCGCCCATACATGTGTGGAATTCCAAATACGCAATATATATGAGAACGATATATCAATTAAATAATAATTGAATTTTATAATATTTATTAAATAATTTGAATCGATATTATGTATTTATACTCAGGAAAAAATCAAGTAAATAATCTACAAAATAAAGCTGTGACAGTTCTTTTAAATAACGGATTAAGAATTAAATATGATATTGTTATAAATGCTATAATATATTGCTGATATGTGCAATATAAGCTATAGCATGTATTTCTACTAAGTTGTAAATAAATAAATAAAAAATAAATTGTCACCAACGTTAAATGTAAATTGTCATAGATTACATATACTTAAATGAACTGTAATAAAGTTTTACTTTAATGCTTTAATAGATATTTTAATTTAAAATATATTTCTATTAAATAATTATATGGCGATTATGTTGCAATTATATTTGCTTATATTTTCCGATATAATTATGGATAAAATCAAATTATAATTCAAATTTTTTATTGAAATGTTGAAATTAAGAAGGATGGGTTTTAAAAGAATGCATAAAAATCTATCAACTTTATATTATATTCATCTGTTAATGTTCGTTATGTACGTTATTTGATTTTCAAAATGAAAATAATACAAAATTTATGTTGAAAATGAAAAAATATAAATGTTAACCCTAATGCGTCATAGTAATATTTTCATTATCCAATTGTTAGTCGCAATTCTCGACTTCTGCCACGTTTATAAATAGGAGCATGAACGACAATATTCAATTTTATTCGAAGAAAATGCCCGTAAAATTCCAAGAGCTAACAAATATCAATAATGTGTGCTTTAGGATTAACATAATTCACTGCTTCAAAAAACATAATGACGTATGATTACATATATGTATTAGCTTATACAGTTTAAAAATATTATTTCATTTAGTAGCCTCCGTGTTGAAAATACTTTACTTTTTAATATTAAACTTTTTAATCAATTAACTCGTTTTATTATTAAATTTCTATTAAAGAGTCTTCCAATATTAAATCTAGCGATTAAATTACTCAAGCACGAAGTATATGCAAAATAGTATAGGACAGTAGATTCAATAACATATATATATATATATATATATATATATATATATATATAGGTCAGTTGCTTATAAAATTAAGTGGATCAATCAATATGTAAATTCGCTATACATCAGTAAAGTAGGTTTGTTATTGAAAATACTTTCAGGTTTGTTAGACGATAATATTAAATGTCTAATTATAATCGTGTAGCAATAAATATATAAATCTATTTATAATTATAAATATTATGATCGTGATATATCTTTTAAAGAAAAATTAATAATATTTTACATCCTAGGACGCAGTTAATTATTAACTACCAATATTATTAAATACCAGATTATTATTGTATCAATATAATCTTAATAGTGACTTCTATATTTATATCATATTCATGTACATATTCGTGAAAACAGAAATGTGTCAGTGAAAAGTCGTACTAATTACACAAACTTTTTCCTATATAATAATAAGATGTTTATCTTCGTCGTGTTTAGCGCTCGCAATTGCTGAGTCGTAATTACGACTCTAAAGTTTATGAATTAGAGTGAAAACGCCGTTGGCGTTTCCTGCATAATAGCGGAAGCCAAGCTCTCCGTGTTTCTCGTTGCAACCGTATGAGGCGGGAAAATCGACGAAAAATTAAACGAAGATGGTCTCGCCAACGGTCCGGTGACTTCTTCTTCTTCTTCTTCTTCGCCAACACCTTCGAAGATCGATTACGGCGGCTCGAATAGGGCCATAGATAGTGGGAGGAAGGCCAATGAGTTCGAGACACTGCTCGATGATAGATACAATAAGAAGAGATCAAATTTATTGAGCACAAAATTCACCTCGAAGCTAAAGTCCAGGTTTTACGGGGCAAGGGCTCCTAAATGAGGTTGGTTGTGCAGGTAAGCGAGCACCAAATACATAGTGTGTAGGAAACGGCGGCAGGAAATCTTCGATATTAGTCAAACGACTTTATCTTTCTCCTAGCCGTGGGCATTTTGTGCGTTGCGCATCCTTACGGTTATTTTTCCGTTTATTATCTATGCGAGTGTTAATTCCATCGACATACTCCAATTCGCACTTTATCATTTGTTCCTAATAGTGAATTATCGATATTTTCGTTACCAAAATAGGTTTACCATTTCAGAAAGGTGATAAAAACGGCAATAAAGTTTTTTTAGTGAAAAGTCAGCGCTTAAGATAAGATTAGCTGCCGAAAAAAGAGAAAAATAAAATTACATAAAAAGGTAATAATCCTTAATAAAACACTCTTTGAAATTCAAATATTTGTGATTTAGATATAATGACACAATTATGAATTATTATGTATATTAATAATTCAGTAGCAGTAATTTGTAATATGTATCATAGAAGCTGATTAATAATAAAATGTTCTGCAAGCAGAATTCCAATCACTAGTTTTTTAATTTAATTGCTTTATTCGAATATTCATCGTTTTCATTATATTTCAAGAATAATATTTAAAAAAATTCGGACTTAATAATAAATTATATTGTTTTCCAGCTTTACTATTCAGTTTGTTTAGAAAAAAATAACAGGTAAAATAATATAAAAATTATATTAGGAGCTGAGATATAAGTATGTGTAATTATATTGGATTAAAAATTAAATTTCATAATAAGTAGGTGGTACATAATATTGTTTCAATTACATTAAATTCCAATTGTTTTTTTTTATCCCGATACACTATGTCATAATGTCGTTTTGAGAATACGATGTTCTACATTCATGTATAGAAACTTTATAATAAAAGCAAATTGATATTTTATGAGTGTTTCAGTAATATTGATAAAATTACTCAATATTATAGATACTTACATACCTTTACTCTATAATTTTCAAATTTTAACTATAAATATGTATATTTCCATTATTTGATAGATGGAACGAATTAAAATATTTTATTTTTCTAATCTCTGTTATTATTTTTATATGAAAAAGAGCTCATGCTAATTTGGTTGTATTATCATCCACTTGTGGCAATACATTATTTCTATTTCATTGTGAAGGCAGAGAACATAAAAATCGATTATTTATTTGCCTTACATCAATTATTACCAGAATTTCCATAACATTCTTTTTCGTAATCTTTTGGTAGTACTTCCTGCATTAATTTTTCGAATTGCGCAAGAGGACAATAATCGGCACATTTTGGAATAATTCGACATTCGGTTGTCGGCGGAATCCCATTATAATACAGGACCTATAATAACAAAATAATACATCAAAAATGCATATGTGAATACTAGATTTCTAAAACAATATAATTTGTTCATTATATCATTATAATTAACAATTTTACGTAACTAAAGCTTATATAACTGTATATAAATTTCCTTTGATTAATTCAAACTGAAATAATTAATTATATCGCCATATATATTTATATTTCTATAAATATATTTATTTATGAATATAAAATTTTTGTTAGAATAAATTATTATGTCAGTTTTACGTAATCATAAACTAGTATGTTTTATTATAAAAGGAAATACAAATTTCCTCTTATATGTTATAGAAATTTGTATTTTAGAAATATTTATATTTAACTTTAATATTTAATTGCGCGAATATTATACTTAATATTGATATTACAAATTCAGTCGCAATTTATTTAATTCAATTAAATAATTTACTTTCATCTTATTACTACGGAATAATAAAACATTCGAAAACAATAATTCTCTTTCAAATAAAAAGTTACCTCTACCCTTCTAAAATTACAGTTTTTTTTTTAACAGGCAAATAAAAAGAAAAATAAAGTGAAAAAGGATTGCTTTTGTGTTCATGAAATATTGACAGTATAAAGTAGGTTAATGTTATAAAATCGCTTGAAAAACTGAATTTGTGTAAAAATGTAAATTTGTTGAATATAATCAATAGAGTACAATATGAATTTATCCGAAATAATTTTGATATGTTCTAACCTTAACATAAAATTGGGAATCTTTTTCCCATAGCTCTACAATAGCTGCGCTTGAATATTCCGGTACTTTTGGTTTCCACACATTTAATGTAAACAAAGCTGCAGCAACAGTCGTCTCGTGCGCACTATACAGAAAGATTTTTGGTCGGTTTTCCCTTTTTTTCACAGAAAGCATATCGTCCAAGATCTTACGAAGAAACGTGCCTTGAATAGAGAGAGACAGAGAGAGAGAGAGAGAGAGAGAGAGAGAGAGAGAGAGAGAGAGAGAGAGAAAGGAAGAGAGTGTGCGTGTTACAACATCTTATTTCTAAATGACATTAATAATTTTTTGCATGTAAAAGTGTAATAAAAACCTCCGTTCAATTTTTTAAGTAAATTATTATAATTGACTAATCTATATTGGTTAATCGCTGCATCGGTAAGAAGGCCATTTGGGAAATATTCTTTAGCCCAAACTGGAATAGTTAAGTTTAATGCTTTTTCGGACGTTAGCGTGTGAAATATATTTATGACTTTTTCCATGCTATTTATGTTCGCTCCCGTATGAATTGTCAGTTTGTTCATTAAATCATGAAATTTTGAAACATCATTTTTATATTCAGTCGTTTGCTGCACTCGTGAAAATTCTGTAACATAACTAAGAAAGATAAAGGGAAAAAGAAAAATTTATATTGCAGCTCAATTAATCGAACATAGTATTTAAAATATTTAGCATACGCTGGGCACGGTATTGGATGTAAAAGGGGATCATTGTTTTTATCAACAGAAATTATGGGTATCGGCTGCCAGTTAAGTTGAGAATTCCAAAGTTGCTGTTTCTTCGGAGGATAAAGTCCAGCGAGAACGAGGAGTAGACTCATTTGGGTCCTATCAAAATCGGTACTGCGTGCATAAACATCCGAAGGGATATATAAGTCTCCTAGAAATGCATTATAGGTTTTTCGCAAAAATTTTCCTAAATAATATTCTCGATTCTTGCCCGCCTAAAAAAATGTATTGCATAAAGTAATACATTGTTAAGATTAGTCATATTTATTTATATATTAAATAAACGATATTAAATAATGTTTTATACATTAATTAGTCCACCCAGAGGATTTGGATAGAATTCTCTTAGATTGTTTGGATCTTTTGGATATAATTCCTCTGGCGTCCGATCTCCGTGTCGGAAGATCTTTAAATTATAATATTAGTAAGAAATTGACTTTTGACGGCCATTCAAAAACACTAACATTATCATAAAAATACTTACGACATTGACAGCTCTCAATTGATAGCCGTTTGATTCATCCAAACTTAGTAAAATAGAAGCGTGAAGTAGGATGAGAATTCTTGCGTAATATTGTAGTTTTAGCATTATGTTCGCACTGAATTTGACTATAATGTAACTAATGAACTTTTTCTTGTCTGTATGTTTTTAAATTTCAAGCAACACCTTTCTCATTTCTCTCTATATTTTTGGTATCACTGTGTTACTGTTACAGGCTCCTTCAATTGAAATGGTTCAAAATTTATACTATTCTACGGTAACTAATAAACGATCATGTTTAATGTATCGACATGATTTACGATTACGCATATAACACGTTTTCAGAATTATAATTGTTTTCTCAAATCCAGTCGGAATATGGAAATTTATTTTTTATTTATGATGGGAACAAATTGTCATACCGAGTATTGAGTTATATTTTCGAAACGTTTGTTAGAGAAAAAAAGCTTAAAATATAAGAAATTCCCTTTGGTTTATGAGTTTTTCATTAATTATTATGTGTGTACTCACATTCTCATCAGCTAATATTACAGTGAATAAAAATATCTTTATACATTTATAATAAAATTAGTTAAAGATCAATTAAAAGAATATATGTAGTATTGAAGTTTACTGTGCATAAATATTACTCGATTTCTTACTTCAAATTAATTCATATATACAATTCTTCTTACGAAAATATTTTCTAACTGCTTACCTTTTCGTAAAATTCTTGGAACAAATAATTATATAATTATTATTTTACAAAACTTGATTTTTATAATTCTTAATTTAATATTGTATAAGTAGCTATAAATGAAGTATGAAGTCTGTATTCGAGGTTCCTGTTTACAAAATTTTGCTATTAATAATGTATCTATATACTCCATACGAATTTATAGACAATTTTTAACTTATTATCTACATATTTAATGTTATAATTTATTGAAATTTCGTGATTCTAGTTTATTTGTAAAAACATCGAACAATTCTTATTGGCCTACGTTTCTATATAAGAGATAATATGTTTCAAAAATCGACCTAACCGTAATTATTTATCTTTATATAAGATTCCTATTTAAAAATATATTTCATAATTGAAGTTAATCTTTTATCGAAGCAGTTTTGTAAAATTATGTTTGTAAATTTACTTTAAATACCGAATAAGTTACAAATAATGAAAATATGCATGAGTGATTGGTACATAATTCTTTCTCGAATGGTTTTATAAAAAAAAGTAAATACATATTGCAGCTATTACGCACTGTTGAATATTAAATACAGAAAAATATAACATATTAGAGGTTCAATAAATATAGAAATGTGATAGTTTGTTTTGAAGGCGATAAGATAAAGTCGATAATATTTTCAATTAACAATGGTAGGAACCAGACATTCGTAAGAATAATACATTGATAATATAAATATTATACTATTAATAAACACCGGCGTTACGAATAATATTTGTATTATTACTAAACATACACAATGTTTTATCTACGTGTATTTATAATACCTTTATTGTTGTCTTTATGATGGGCTTCTAGTACAATTTCTCGCTCTATCAAATGCAGAAGAGATTTAAAAGGGATTCATCCCGCGCTCCACAAGGACGAATCCCGCGTCTCGATCGACTTGGGAAAGAGGCGCGCTAGGAAAAAGGACGAGGAAGGCCGAGGAGAAAGATATAGAGAGCGACGTTAAGTGCTTCCGTTGGTGGCGACGAGAGACTTACGGTAATCGCGTTTAACCGTGACGGGCGGCGAATGCTTCACGCGCGAGGGCGCCCTCATAATATCTCAAGCATATTTTCCTCCTTGCGGTCCTCTTACTCCCCTTGCTGCGCCACCTCTGGCGGCGCAATTCGCATATCCCTCCACCGCATTTCACTCAGACGCGCTTCTTTTACTTTTACTGCGCGTATTGAAAATGCTCGTGCTTGCTCCCTGCAAATACATTTGCGCCGATGACGCGCATTCGAGCGGCAGAAGCTCCGTACCATCTTTTTCTAGCGAAGAATTTAACGGCAAAGAAAGTAAGAGACGCAGTGCGAGTGAGAGGGGGCGATTGGGGCATTTCATTTGATGGAAGTATCGTGGTCTCATCGCGAAGCGTTTTTCAATGCAGTGATATTGTATAATGACTTGTGCCTCAACTTTTTAATCGAAAAATTCAAATCATTTGCTACAGAATATTACAATTGGACGTATCTGTGAGAAAAAGTTATTGCCGATACGAATTATTTTGTTGAAAACGCTAATTTTACAATAACTTTGCAATTTATTTAATTCGTGTAAAGTTATTACATATACGCAAGTATAAATCAGGTACTTCATTCATTCTTGTACTTTTAAATATTAATTTCAACTGGCGTTTTTAATATCTTCAAAATTCTTTTAAAATAACTTTACTATCAGTATATATTTCAATATCTCAATTAATAATATTTCAAATTTTATAAAAATTTAAATCAAATGAATAATCTATTGTAAGATTATGTTAAAAATGCATATATTATTAGTTTAAATTCTTTCTATAAATATAGTAATATTCATTTCATAATAAATTGAATATAAATATAATATTATTATATGTATTATATATTATATTTGAA